ACAAGGAGGCGAACAAGATAAGGTTGAATGCGGACGCGTGTTCGCCACGTGCCGAATTACAGCAAATCGCTGCGTAATGATTTGTCAGTGATGTCAACACGCACATATTGTGCGTACGCATCCCGCCGCCAATCCATCTACTTGTGTCGACATATCCGTCGAATTACCATTTACCACGTGCTCCAGCACCCCCTCGGCCATCGCCCGCAAACTTAATAATCCGCATGCTTAAATGTTATACATAAACGTATACAATGCTAGGCGGCGGCGGCAGTCGTCGGCAGGATGCAGGATATGTTTGCGTTCGCATTCGGAGCCGGCGCGCACGTTTGCATATTGTTTACATTACATTATTTCTACCCCCTTATTATATGCGGTTTATCCATAGAAATATTGCTCACATTTTAATGACATTGGCGTTCTCGGCACATCCATGGCCGTAAATCGGCGGGTAGGAGGCAAATCTAACCCGTTATGCTATGCTTATGCGTGTACCTACAATTGTGTATCTTCTAGTTTAATACAATTTCTAAATCCGGCAATAAGATGTCAGCTTAAGTGCCTTTATTCATCTTAATATTTATATTTTTTTATGGAACGGCATATTTTATAGGCAGAAAGTGTTTCAAATGGTTTCAATTATAGAGTATTTAGGTACAAATGGTTCATAAATAATTATTATTGTTAATGTATGTTAATGTGATTTAAACTTTCCAAATTCAATTTTTATTGCACCCCAGACCCCAAACAAGTCGTTTAATTCTTAATACTAGATTGCATATGTTTGCAATGTTGCGCATCCGCGTATAAACTTATGAGATTGTGCATAATGTCTTCGCGTTCTCGTCATACACGACTAATCCACCGCACACGAAGTCAAATACAAAATCGCTTACCGTTTACTGCAAAGTCTTAAGTACGCCTGCAGCTGGAAAATGTGTCTCTAATATAACCATTACAGTCAGCATGTTTCGAATGGCAAATCTTTCGAGGCGTGCGTTCATCGCATTCCTGCGCGATTGACGGTGCCGTCGCGGCCCTTTTCTACACTTCCGCTATGCCGATAGTCTATAGCAGCGATTCGATTGTGCCATTGAATTTTTCTTGGCGTATATGTGCAGTATAAAACAAATAAAGGAAAAAACACGCCGCACACCTTTTATATCTACGGGGGCATAAATGGCTTTGTGTACATGTGGTTTGACTATAAAATTTTATTTGATTTAATAGCTCGCCGAAGTCGATTCGGGTAAAAATGGCAGGCGCGCCGTGCGACCGAATGCGATATATTGACACATATAAAAGACACTGAGCCATTCACCTCCCTTGTTCCTTCCGATTACGTTATTTGAGGTTGGAGATTGAAAAATATCTAAGTCCTATAAATATATAAACTAAGTACTGATTGATAATTATATTGTTTTATAGTTGCTATGTTTATTAACGGTGGTTATTTACTTATATAAAATGTCAAACATTAAAGTGAAGTGTGAAAATTAATCATGAGTCAGGTCCGTATTTCCTGCTGCCTAAAAATTGATTTGATTTAATTTTATATTTCTTGGCACAAAATATCATTAGTAATAATAGTATTTTATAGTAGCGTGCATAAATAAAATAGATACCTACCTACTAATTCAGTAAATCCAGTCCAGTAAACAGTAACTAGTGACAAACATGTTTAAGCGTTTATCGAATTGTGTGCATCGAATAAAACCAGTATGAACATCAAACCACATAAGAAACGAAAATGAAAATTTATAATGTTGTAAAACGTTTATAACGAATAAAATACCTTCATCATTCAGGACAATAAATTCTTTGCTGTTGCGATTACAATTCGTTTACAGATGAATCGTGGTTATAAAATTCCAACGACAGCATTTTTAGCATCTCAACTTAAATCGGAATTGTTTCTATTTTGAATGTTTTTGAACACTTGGTATAAATTCCATACAGACGTGCAGAGCAAGTTATTGTTCATATCAAGACGCTCAATTGGTTCTATAAAGACATTTTACGAATGTGCATTTGTATGATGTATGTCTAGGAATTCAAGATGCCGCACTAAAAACAAGCACATACAATCTTCGAAATGGCAAATTGGGCTGCCGAAAGGGCAGGTAAAATCAAAGGTCGCGGCTGCTGGGGCAATAAAAGGAAAGATTTTATATCCCAAAATTGCCGAAATACACATGCAATATGTTTTGTTTCTTTTGGTGCAACGTTTGAGGCAAAACAATTATTATTTCAAAATATCCTGCCTGTTTGCACTAAATGTTAATCAGAACCTATAAGGCATTGGATACTTCACATTATAAAAGGGTGAAACCAACAATAGGCCACGGTAATAACCGAATAAAAAGGGTGTTTTGATAATAAATTATTTTACGCAAAACATAGCGATCTAAGGGCGTTACATATCAACTCAAAACTTATATTCTGTTGAAAAAAATTTTATTTTAAATTAATTTTATTTTAATAGTCGCTTCGCTTAATCCCTAGGTGATTGTAACTCATAATTTAGTAAGAAATTAAATAATGTATGTTTTATTAAATGATTCCACGATTAGAATTTCATTATATAAATAGCAGCATATAGATGATATTAGGAGATGGTGTGCACTCGATGCCCTGGATGCATCTAATGTAGTTAGAGTACGTGCACGTTCCGAGGGGGATTTATTAAATTGGGGAGATTATTAAATCACAACGCCGATTGCGATTGCTTTCCATCCACGACAGTTGAACTACGCGCGCGCGCGAAGCACGCAGGACATACATTTAAATAATATCAACCCCTCGTTGGCAGACTGACGCCGAAACACATTTTTAAACGAAGTCGTGAAAATTCGAACAAAACGCGCTCTACGCTTCCAGATACTACTAATAATACGGACATTTAGATTTGATTTTGCTCGATTTTCAACTTGAGCTCGACGTTTTTATTATCGGCTCCCGTTTCGTTCGCACTCCTGATTCAATTAGTATGAACATTAATCAATTGATATACTTTATGGCTACATTTCATAATGAAATTATTTTCGAGAGGGGGCTCCACTTCCTTTCTTAGCAGTTTGGCGTTTTTCGATTTCGCTGCGTCCGTCATTCGTCGATATGACTTGGAGTAATCACAAACTTCACACCTTAATGAAACACGCGAGATTTTTGCGTTTCGTAGCATGGAAATAGATTTTTTTATATCCTTTCGCGCCAACGGTGCTTTAATGCACCCTCTCGACATATAATCTCATAATTTCCCAATCAAATTTATCCAAATGCAATAATACCAACAAATTTAATCATCGAACATAACTGAATTCCCAAACAGTTTGCTTTTGTACGTTAATAGCAAACGACGTTAACAACTTTGTCCGTTCGATTTTGAAGAAACTTCACATACAGTGCCGACAATGGTTTTGACTTCCGTTGCAGTCATACATATGATTGCATACGAGTATGAAAAGAGGTGACGCTGCGTTCCGGTCTGGCAAGAGTAGCTAATGTACCTTTTCAAATAAACACACCGAGATTCATAGAGAAAATCTAAATTCGACTTTAATTATGATTAATGATATGCAGAGTAGCTCTATCTTGCGAGACGAAGCGACGAACACCCTTCCATGCTTTGCCGACGTCGACTATCAGCTGTGGCTGATGTCGGCCGGTCCTTGCCGTTTAGAATGGGTTTTGCGTCCGCCGAAAACCCCGCGCGTCTCGTGACGAAGATTGAACAAACAAATGCGAGCAAAAAATCGTGATTATAAGCCAACGATGATAATGGAGGTGATGCAAAAGATGGAGGAATGGTCGGACGCATCCAACAAACACGCTTCAAATCGAAAACGTAGAACAAGCGTGCAGATAAGCCGACGACGTGCGACACTTTGTAGGTTAGGAACGCAAATGGAAGACAATGGGATTTGGCGAAGGTGATAAGGCGATAACAAACGTAATATGAATCGGACAAGTCGGAATTGTTGGGATATCTTTAAATTTGATGCAGATTTAAAATGAGGTTCTTGATGACTCTTAAGGTTGATCTAATTAAGTGATAAAATCCATTACAAGTGTTCAGAATAAAACAAGAACTTAATTATCTATATAAGAATTAATTACGTCGTTAAAACGTTAATATTCCTAGGAGATTGACTTAAATGCTGGTGGGAGAAGTCATACTTATCAAACTGGCAGGCGTTCAAAAGATGCAGTGTTTCGAATTTAGATTACGTGTCATCAGTGCTGCCCGAAGCTGCTTATCTGTTTAATATAAACGCTTCTCCATTGCAAGAGAATAAGTTATGTAATAAAATATTGCAATGATGTTCGTGGTAGTCATGTGTGTGCGAGAGTGTGGTGCGCCAGTATGGAGCGTCAAAACGGTGAGCTTTGCAGCGCCGCACATCGATGAAGCAGAGGAAACGAGCAACCAGCGGTAAGGCACGGACGGCGACCCTATTTCCACCGCTAAAATGTTTGGGGTAGTAAAATATCTCCTTACAGATTGACTTCGTGTGCAGTGTGCACACACTCCGAAAATACAGCATCCCGTGTACCATAGTGTCGGGAAGTTCTCACTGGTAGATGGGGAAACTCGATGCGCGCGAGGCGGGAAAACACCAATGGCGGGCGTTGCTGCGCAATGGGCGGCCTACCAATCGCGCGTGGAATTTTCTGCCGGCGATCCTCCTTTGAACCAATGAAAAAAGCATTAATCTCTTTTAAAAATAGAGCAACGTGTAACTACGCAACCGAAAAGGACACGCATACCTTGCGCTCACGCGCGAGGTTGCGCCACTCAATGCCCTGCGGCAATAAGGACCGGAATAATAAGTTTTAACATATTAAACATGTACTTGAGTTTATATACGCCGAGTGGCGCGCGGAGGGCGCCGGGGGTTTCCGTCGACGTCCCCCACTATGTTGTGTGCGGCGTAATACGCCCCGTTTCGTCAACACTTAACCATCCAACGAACTTCTTTATTCTATCAACAGCCAAACCAAAGCCGCTCGCCACCCGATCACTAGCGACTCAGGTAGTTCCGAGTGTGATACGCACCGTGCGTGATATTTTCTTCATGCCATATCGTAATTCGGTAGAATCGTGATCATCGCCAGACTGTAATGTGTTGTGTATCCTCACGTGGTTGTGTGTGATCTTCTTCGTCGGGTAAAAGACGCAAACGACTGTGACGCGGCTCCGTTCGCGTCCAATCCATCACCACCACGGCGTCGCCAGCAGACATGACTCAACACAGCGACGCTTCCAGCGACCACTCCGAGGTGTCCGTGACGCCGCCGCCACCAGTATCCAAAATGCTTGAGTTTGCCAGCCAGCAGAACCTTAGTCTCTTCAACCTGGAGCACCGTAACATGTTGGCGGCCCCGTTGGCTGCGCTTCATTCAATGACAGAAATGAAGCACCAACCACAAGATATCATGCCCGAACACCTGCACACCCAAGAAAAGGCTGATGGAGATGTCCTACTGGACCGCACCAGTCTACATGTAGAACGTGCACGGCTGGCGTCCCGAAGCCCGTTGGGCGCGACGTCTAACAGTAATAGCTCACAAGGCGCAAACCCACACGGCATTGATCACATACTATCCCGGCCGTCGCAAGTGACCACGGGACCGTTGCACTTTGCACACAGTATAGGTTTCTCGCAAAACCAACTGGGAATGGGAGCGCATAACACACAGGGGCCATCGAACGCCGGCCTGCGGGGGTTCAACTTTGCGGCGGCGGCACTCCTGCATCACCATGCGGCTAACTCGGTGAACAAGCCGTCGGTGGAGATCGGACGCTCAGCGAATTCTTTGTACTGGCCTGGATTTCAGGGACTCTGTTCCAATCCTCTCGCATTTCGTAACGCAAGTGAGTATCTCTACACACGTATCAATTCTCCGTCTTGTCCTTAGCTAAGTATTATAGTCAATTGACGGAGGTTTACCACCGAGCTTTGTTTACACTCATTTGTCCGTACAAACATACCCGATGGTTTACGTTAACCGCAAGGCGCAGGTTATGAAATTCCTATGTTTTGTACACAGTCACCTATAGACTGCACATATCTCACTCGTGTAGGTGTGTGCACAGGGCACGCACGTGGAGATTGCTTATGTGTGCTTAAACCGTTGAGATAATAGAAGATTTGAGATCGTCGCACGTGGTTAGGCACGAAACGAACCGGCCAACATTATTCTCCTGGGGTTCTCTCCCGGCCAGATTTCACTCAAGCGTGATACAATTACTACAACAAACAACAGTCTCCCGACGATCGTTTTCCGTTCATTTTGCCATGGGCAATCAGTCTGTTTTTAAAAGAAGACATCACTGTATTATTTTTGATCGGGAACATCCAAATATTTAGAAATCATTTACAATTTGCCAAAGAGAATTCGAAAATTTTTGGTGGAATGACAATATTGCTTCGATTGTGCACAATAATGAGAAAGTCTCTAGTGTGTAAATGCGTGGTCATTTTACCTAGGGCTGTGCATTATGTCTGGCATAATGGAGTTTCCGGGCGGTGAAAAACGAAGCAATAAAATCCTTAGAGTTAGATTTAGGAGGTAGTGGGTAACAATGGAAGTTAAAGTCATTGATAAATCGACATAAATTGCAATTCAATTCAATTCTTTCTTGATGTCATGAATTTTCCATGTTCATCTTGAATCAGTGTGGAAACGCTACATCAAGTCAAATTACAACACAGCATAGAATATACAATATTTAACACACATCCCAACGACCACAATTTGCTCTCTCCTCTGCGCGTTCGGCGATCGCAATTTGCCATTTAACATCAACAGTCAACATGCAACATCTACAACAATACATCAACAACACCGTTCTCCGTTTACAGTTGAATTATTCGAAACATCCGCACAATCAACAACACTGCACAGCCGCCCACGAATATAGTAATATATGATGTAATAATGCAACCAACATATGCGCACCCGAAACGATAACAATATTATTATTGATATCCTCAATTCGAGCTAGCCGTGTCTAATTGTTTTTAATGAAGAATCACATATGTCGCTGTATACCTACAGTTATTATTATGCGAGTATTCAAATAACATTGGCGCGATAACGTTTTTAATTACCCATCATACAAAAAAGTCTCAGGAAATTAATAAGTATGATTTTATTGAAGCAATTTCCAATCTGTTTATATGTTTATTTCCAATAGGTTGCCGTTAGTATTTTTATAAACGCAATTAGTGCTTCATACGGGAGTTGGCCAGTTTTAATGTCTTCAGTGTGGGCCTCCGTCCTGCCGCTGTTGCACCAGTATCCGCAAATTAGGAAACGTATATAATGGCCGTTGACGTAGGTGTTATTTGTTTGTGCGCCATCTGGCAACGGCGTTATTAACTTGGCAAATCAAACAAACCCCGACATTAATTACGCGCCTTGGGCCGCTTCAGACGATTGGCACTCATGAATTCAAGAATTTACAAGCATGTGGTATGGTTTCATTAATCCGCAACATGCGACAAAAGAAGTCGAGCGGCGCTTAATTAATTTTGAGCATCAATGTGTTTTCTTTCGATTTTGGGCGGTTATTTGTCAAGCTAATCTCGAACAAATGTCGATACTGTGAGCAACACAATAATCATATATTGAGTTAATAACAATATCGCACATGGAGACATGCGATTATATGTACATACATAATCTACATAATCTATCGATTGATTTAATTAAAGTGGAATGCAGGTACCTATTGTTTGGATTATAATAACACATTTGGGCAAATATTGATTTATCAACACACAAACACCAATACATATGTTGTCTGTCGTTGATACTGTTAGTGGTTGCATAAAAAATATTACCTAACGATAGAAAGGGCATAAGATACGCGAGGAAATGACTACTTGGCATTGCCCATAATAACATCCAACTTTACTAATTGAAGACTACACTAGTGAATTACTTGTTCATCGCAGCAACATTAAATGTGTTGTCAGGCAACTGCTAGAGCTTTTACGGCTTTCCGCACAGCCGTCCCATTCAGCAGCCCGGTTTTCCATTTAGGGGAAGCGCTTGTGAGAGCAATCCAGCTTGTTTAACCAAAGTCGCGGCTCAAGATGTGCGAGAATGAGACGGCGGGAAGTCTCCAAATTATACCATTCTACTATTCCTAATAACTATTCATCATCTGAGAAACCGACATAACATTATATTTGTATAAGCAATTTGTAGGATTCACTAATATTTCGACCATGCAGCAGACACTGACGCCAGCGGGGATGAATTATTAATTAATTGTAGCGACGCGTTTAAGATAAATGTTTAAACGTTGCCTAACTCGGAATTACAATCGTAACCATTTAGGGAACAACAATATACAATCAGTTTTGATTTAAATTGAAAATTGCAAAACAAGTTGCATCAAAATTGAAAAACCAAACAAATAAAAATAAAATTGGAGGAAAAGATTTATTTATGTTCTTGGCTTCCATAGCGCGTTTACTTTATAAATATCTAAACGAAACGTCGTAATGTTATGATTCTTTAAGTTGGGGACTGTCGATGCGAAAAAGATAAATGCCCCCGATCGAGTTTCTGATAGATTAAGGAAACCAACAGCGCAGACGCTGAAGGCACCGAAGCTAAAACTAAATAACAAGAATTGATTTTCTCATTCGAATTGAATTGCTAGTCGGCAGATAAAACAAAAAAAAAACAATGAAGCCTAATGAGGTTGAGTTGGTGTTGAAATTTACAATCCGCATGATATGGAGATCAGCGCAAAAATGTAAAACACGTGTAAAGTGCATTGGGCCTCATACCTTATACCATATAAGACCCATAAAAGATGAGACATAAAAACTAAGCAGCTGATGCGCGATGAGTGGAAAAACGGGCGGACGGCGAAAAAGGGAAAAAGAAAGCGGCTTGAAAGTGGAGGGTGAATAGAGTTGTTATCATCAATTTATCTTCTATATCAACGGGAATTGTTGTGCAGTTGTGCTTAGCGCTTGTGTACGTCGTGTCTTGTCGTGTAGTATCGCGTGTAGAACAAGCAAACCGACATCCTTGCTGATATTTCTGCGGTCGTATCGCCGGATATGGTGGCGGAGGCGCGCCGCGGTAGCCTAGCAACGCGCGCAGAAAGAGGGCGCGATGCGGAAGCGCAGCCGGGCCGGGCGCCGGGTGTCGGATGGCCTCCCTTCCCGCACAAGCTGTTTAAAACAAGACACCCTGTTAGAATAATTATATCTTTAGATAACAGGGGATCATGAGATTATCCACATTGTTTCAGTGGCGACTCGCGCGCCGTCTGCCAGCCGCGCGATCATTGCGCGTGCTGTGCGGATTCCGGTCGCGAATTTACATGCGGTAATTACAAATACGTAAATTGGATACGACTTAAGGTCCAATTAATAATAACAAAAACGTTCAGGCAAGCAGATAATACTATTATTCATTTTGTGTAATGCTCCTATTTCCGCTTATCTCAATGGATTGCACATACTTTAAAGGACCGTACCGTGCTCACAAGAAGGCAGCCAACCATCCTACAGCCAATTTCGAAGCGCTTGCGCCAAACTGTGGGCCATTATTGCCACTAACAGTTCACATTTTCGGTGTTTGTATATAGGTAGGTAGATGCAGTATGTATATAGATTATCTCGCTGACGTATTCCCAATTGGTGGATTATACACATCCATGTGATACCGGCACAAACCGGGAATAAAACCGTCAATTTTTATTGCTCGGATTATTGAAAATCCTTTGCTGACACCAAATGTTTTATCATTTTGGGGCATTAAAACATGCACCCGTGTCATTCACTTGTTCAGACATAAAATGTCTCAAAATCGGCAATAAGATGAAGCCCAAAACTCGGCATGCATCAATTTGCTTTTCCAGCAAAATCGCGCTTCGATTTTCAATATCGACACGACACGAACACTCCTTAGATTCGGGTACGTGTTACAATCAACTACCGTAGAATATGATGGCACGAACAACATCTGCAACGGTTTGAATTGAAGAGATAGGTGAAGCATGTTGATGTCCCTATAGAAGTCGATACATTTATATCGTAAAAGATTCAGACCAGATGTCTATATAATAATCTATATATGCTGACAACGCAGGGTATTGCTCGCGATGGCCCACAAGGGAGATATAAGCCCTCCGAACAAATTCAATAACACCTCCGCAGCCCAAAGCCTGCCGAACGAAAAGCTCGCACTGAATTCACTCGATTGGTAAACTGCTCCGAATTATTACGTCGTTTCGTTCGCTTTTTTATTTATTCATATATCCGCTCGACTGTCCGGCGCTATTGCTGCTCAAACCAATATATAACTTGGACTGCAAACATGAACTAAAAGTATGTTCACTGAATGACTGAAATATAGGTACTACGTAAAAATCTAAAATTATTTGCTGCTAAATCATTAGTCATGCAATTAGAAGAGATCTATTAATTTTGTTTTGCTCACAGGAATGACGCAACGTTCCATTCTGCACGAATTCGATTTTGGCAGTAAGTTATAATCTCCCCCCAATCACACCAAACAAACCAACCAACAAGCTATGCAAAATTAATAACTATAATCAGATGACAATAGAACCAACAGAATACGTTGTTGATTGCGTGCGATTGACACCTGCTTGGCAGTAGCGGCTATGGTGGCAAGAGAGCCAATAAAATATCTAATGTTGGTGTGTTTTTTGTTGCAGTGAATCAGAGCGGCATTGGCCATTCCGACAAGGATGCGAAAAAGAAGCACACGCGGCCGACGTTTTCCGGACAGCAAATTTTTGCGCTGGAGAAAACTTTCGAACAAACCAAATATCTCGCCGGACCTGAACGTGCCAAGCTGGCATATGCTCTCGGCATGACAGAATCACAAGTCAAGGTTTGTATATCACACAAATAATTTATTAAAAACGGAATAGAAAGACTTATTAAACCTCTTCACTAGAAGATATTTTGTCTCAGAGCTTATATTCCAATCGCTAGGGGTTGAGATTCAATAAAAATGCAAATGCAAAAAGTAGCAAAGGGTATTTACCTACACTTGTCGTCATCCGAAAATTTCCAAACTTGGCCAGCGATATAGGTATAACCCTAATGGCGATAGTTATAATAATGAAATAACAACAACAGTAACGCAAGAACAAGAAACGAGAGGCAAACACTTAATATTATGGCGGGTAGTAAATTTTAGCACAATGGACTCATAGACAGCGCGCAGGGGCCAGCAGCCCAGCAGTCTCGGTGTGGGCGCTTTCTGCTCGTAGCATAGCTCACGCTCACTTAGCGATTTCATTAATTCTAAACATATCGTTCTACACGCGTCGCCACCGAATTACTCACAAGGGATTTACCGCCGCTCTATTTTAACCCCAGTATGTACTTTAAGTTAATCGGATTAATTTCGAAACGAACCAATATATTGCGGCGAGCGTGTATCCTACGTGCGTCTAATCGTACTTAACGCTGAAAGGATTTGACAGATTGTTACATTTATACCTTATTATAATATTGTGATACGTTTTACCTTCTTGTTGACGTGGCCTATTATATTATTTTAAGTCGTTTTGTAATTGATATCAATCTGACAAACCGGCTCAGGACTAGTATTGCCTTATTTTTTTAATTTTCGTACATAATTAAGTATTTTTATGGTCCACAACGAAATCATTATCCATATTCTTGACTTTTGAAGACCCGGTATCAATATTCTTGATGGTCAAATTTATAGATATGTTTCAATGTCTCCACGCGCAGCACATAATTTAAAGTGGTACTAGAAAGTGTTTCTTATGTCTCCTCTTGGCGGCTACCTCCCAATTCGGGGGCGACAGTGTATCCGCTGTTCCGCATATGAAAGCGAACAAGATCGGCTTTACGGATACACGAAAGATACAGCTCTGACGTTGGGGTGTATACTACTCTTCGTTTGGTATGATGTATGGCATCGAGAAGGGTGTGCGGCTGTGCGCGTATAATCTCCTGACAAATTGAATTAGGGGGCAGGCAGGATGGTCGCCGCGCCGTAGGGGCGCCACTTGTTTATAACAAACATGCACCTAAACATTCGTCACCCTCCGCAAAGCAGTCGATTTCATCGAACGCGATAAACCCACATTTACGGCGTCACTTCAATCGTGGATTTGCATCCCTTCGGCAGCACACATGATGCGAGACGCGTTCGTATAATCTATGAGCATTATTACGTAATAAGATTATGCGCGTTATTTTTTGTGATTTAATAATCGGACACCACATGTGGCTGGATGACTTCCCGCCCTGCCGCCGCTGCTGCGCGCCCGCTGGAAGGCATTAATTAAGTAGTCCATCTTTAGGGTTGAAACGACCAGAGGAGAAAAAAAAAACACACTAAGCGTTTGCTTGCGCTGCCATCTCCGGATGCGACCGTTTTAATTTAATTAAACGTGTAAGAGAGATAAAATTAATTTTTAATTTTTGTCGCTAATAGCGGGCGTTCCTGAGGGCTGCTAAAATGGAAGACGCGCGGCGTCGTTGACTTTTACTGTCGCCTTGTTTGCTATTTGGAAGCGCGGGCGCGGCATGGAGATGAAATCTTAAAAGAATATCGCGTTTTTACGAGGACCGTGATATCCTCCCGTCGGAAGCGCAGCGTAAAAAGTTGTCCAGATTATTTTTTACTTTGGTCTTCAGGGTGCTTTTTAGTTAACGAAGGCAAATTGCGGCCGAGCTTTAAATGCTCAAGAGCCCTCGTCTTAATATTTATTTACGTGAATCAAAAAGTGCCGGTTGGTCCTCTTTGTCTTGCAAACGGGCTGAAGGAAGATTGGACATTATGTGGAACTACGCTGGCTTGTTTCTCAGAGGGAAGGATTTAAGTTACAAAAATGCGGAATGTTTTATGATAATAAAAGTGCGCTCAGATTAAATAAAAATGCTAAATAAAACGCTCTCTTGAAAATTAATAAGTTCGCGGAATCTCGTCTCTCCGACGCAAACGGCTTTTCACCCTTTTGGTATATTTATATTTTGCAGGGGAATATGAAGTTGCTTTTTTTACTGCAATTATACAAGAATTGCATATCAAAATATTTATCACAACTGTAAGATATATTTGTAGTTTTATGTGTTTACATTCTCATACGTGCGAAATAAAAAAAAAGAAAGCCGTAGATTGGGTTATTTGCAATGGCATAGATACTTCTGATAAATGTTCAAAATATACGTGCGTGCATGGTAGATATCCATGTACGCTTCAAGTGCGATCATCGTTTGCACGCGCAGTTGGTGGAGGCGCGGGCGAAACGTCAGGCCCCGCTGAGGCCATAGCCATTGCTGTCTATCGGCCAGCCAATCCATCATATTTCGAACGTATATGGAATTTTATTTTGCGGTGTATCGATGCTGGATGCATTGGTCTGCCTGGCGCGGCGCGGCTCTTTCACGAAATGACGGTTTGATTTATCGCTGACGGCCCTAATCTACGTGATGTTTTTATTATTTGCGAGCGCGAAATGTCCTGTTTTATAATTTCAGATAAAATCGGTATGAGTTACACACGCAAGCCCCCCTAATCCCCATTCCCACTTTTGTGCCTGCCTTTCCCCCTTTTTCCACCACCCTCGTGGTCTCTACCCGAACATCCCGCGACCACCCATATTCTGGCACTTGCGCTTACTCTGCTTTCGGCTAGCTCTATCGCTATGGAAATGTTGGGCCATTAGTATGTCGTTAACCGTAAACGTAAGGCGACCGAATCGATTAACGCTAAGTGACTGCGTAATTAGCTGTACATGGTGCGATGCATTGTGGTCCCGGATGTTCGCCCAGCGCTCGCTTGCAAATTAGGGGCTATTTGTAATTTGTTTTATATATTTCAACGTGTGTGTGTGTGTGTGTCCGCTGCCTTCTGCTTTGCCAACTTGCCGCATTTCTATTCGCACGCACTCCAGCATCATTTTCCAAATGTGTCCCCTCACAGCGTACGCGCGGAATACGCAGTTGTAACGCACATCCAGAGAATTTTGAAAAGCCTAATTGCTTTGTCCACTTTCACAGTTTCTTAATTAGAGGCTCGAAATACAATATCAACAATACTTTTATATTATACCATTATATCTTCTATATATAAAAATGAATTGCTGTTCGTTAGTCTCGCTAAAACTCGAGAACGGCTGAACGGATTTATCTTATCTTGGTCTTGAATTATTCGTGGAGGTCTAGGGAAGGTTTAAAAGGTGAGAAAAATTCGAATAATTGCCGGGAAAATCCTCAAAACAGCTCTTTTCTATAGAATAAAATTTGACATTGAGATTCAATCATAGTTATAGTTAAATAGTTGAATTCGAGATGGCGCCCTGAAGTGCATTATTGACAAAACTTTATATGCATAATTTCTTTAAATTAAAATTGCTAATCTTATTGATAGAATTGACTCTTACTACGAGTATGTCTAGAACAAGAGAGTAAAAACGAATTACATTTTTATTAAACAGCTAGTTTTTAATATAAATTTCGAAAATATTGAAATACACGTTCTCATTATTTGATTAGGAAAATTTTCCGACGAAGACAAAATGATGTGCGAAAACAAGCAAGCAAAGGTACGTCCCATCCGGGAAATGAAGGCGCCGCGATGCTCCGGCTGTATTAACTTTGCTTCGTGGCCCTCAGACCCCATATTTTGCATGATTTATAGATGTATTATAGCTCTAAATACCGTGTAATTCGCAAATTTAATATCGCATAATGGCGTCGTTTGTTACGAAGAGCGCGGAAAACAAACTACTCCCCGCGCGGCGGCGTGTTTTACACTCGGCGATTCGTGTCGCTGCGCAAGCGACGACCAGCCAAGACTTTTCACCCTTCTCTTACCGAAGAAAACATGGCGCTCGCACGAGATGTCTCAAGGTTTTGCACTGGAAAGTAATCAAAGCAAGCATTTTGCGTGTGTTTTTTTTTTCTTCTTTATCCAGCTGTCTCCTCGCCGCATAAAATTTCACATTTCACATGGTAGGTTCCGCCCAGTTCACCCAGTTCTCCACCCTTTTGCGCGCCGTGTTTGCACACACAAACAATAATTCGATGTTCATATTCAAAGTTGATATATAAATTCAGCTTCGTGCGGCGGCTCCCGCGTTTGTTTTCTCTGGCGTACACATGTTACAGTGAAGGGTAAAACATTATTAGATGTTATAAGGGGTGGTTGGGTTTTCTTTTCAAACGTGCTTTATATATAACCTACTATACATCAATGCCAAACGTACTAGCTTACCTAACACTGATTGAATGACATTTGCATGACCATGTTGAACGATTGTAAATAAATAAACATTTAATATCTTTTGAATTTGTTATTGCAGGTTTGGTTCCAGAATAGACGAACAAAGTGGCGAAAAAAGCATGCCGCCGAGATGGCCACCGCAAAGCGGAAACAAGAAGTACTGGATAACCAAACGGACGAAAATAGTGATGTAATATCGGATTCGGAGGATCATGGCCACTAGTCGGCAAGCTGCTTTAATGAAAAACAAAAGGACGTGCGTGTGTTTCGCGGTGAGACGTGCGCGTTCTGACATAAAGACTTGTTGTACATATATGTTACCTACTGCAATTGAGTGATCTCAATGATACGATCATGGGACATTGGATAACAAATTTCAGTTTATTTGTTTCAAACAAAAATGAGTAGAAAATATGCCTATAACCTCAAAACTAAAAGACATATAACTTAAATTTGCAGCCAAAACAATATAATTAATAACCGGCCTTTCGTATGTCCAGGAAAGAATTTTACTTCTTGTTTGTATGTTTTTTGCAACTTGTAAAAATGTTACATAAGGTAAAACTTAAAACCTTATTTATATTTTAATAATTTATTGCAATCTGGACGTACTTATCGGTGTAACAGATACTTTGAGAGAACGCGCGTTTGTTTGTTTCGTTTGTTGGATGATTGTATTTCGTACGGTGCCCATTATGGAATGCTTATAATTAGGGTTATAACGCCTATAGAAGACTATTAAAAACTCCCTTATGCGATCAACTTATACAAAACGTAATTCAAGCAAATTAAACCAACTTAAAACAGATTTCAATCTAGATAACCCTCTGCGTAAGATTAATGTATAACAAATATGATATGAAATATCGATATCTATTATGCGAGAAGACTTGTAATTATTTTATTTATAATTTATCATTTACTCATAAGTACAGACACCTTCCGCTTATGGATTGTAGCCGCAGACAGCGTGTCAAAACATTCCATGAGATGGATTATTGTATAAAAACCGTGCAATCTATTTAATAACTAGAGAATATCTATACGTATATTATGCAGAAAGAGAAACAACTTCTTGAAAACATTCAAAAGTGAAACTGAACTGTTCCCAAATTATCAACTGGTGATGCTGAGAAGGAAAAAGCAACACATTTGTAGTGTTTTTATTAGGTAGTATTGTACAGTTCTTTTAGTACATGTGATTTAAAGATAAACGCATTGCGTATGTTTGTATTGAATGTATTGGATTGCATACGAGTGCAAAAGCCGATTTAGTTTGGGAACATTCCGATATCGATATGCTTGGGAGCATTAAATGTATTATATTGAAGAATAAAAGAAGACATTGTATTTGTATTTAAAAATAAACATGTTCAAGTGAATATTTTAATTTGCCATGTTAATATTAATTACAATATCATTTTCCTCTAAATATTTTTGTTTGTTTGATTGAAAGGGGAAGCATCAAGGAAGAAAACAGCGTTGCCTTGACGACCTCGCCATAACATGTTTCCCGTAGTCATCGGTCTTGTAGCCGCGAAATCGCGTCGAATCGCGCGTCGACTTCTCAAGCACCACCCCCAACGCACACACACACACATAAACATCCCCTTGGGGGAATGCACATAGCTGTGAAAACGACGCGTTAAAGTCGAACGGCGGCGGTGCGGCGCGTCGTGACGGCGGCGAAGCAATGCGTCTCGTTCGGTTCTGGTCCAGCTTCTGGTCTTATAATCATCAACTACTCGTCAAACACCTTCCACTCTTTATACTCGTATGTCTATATGTCTGTCATGGCAACGTAAGCAATTTATGGCTAGATTATTTATTCATGTGAATGTGTATCAATGCAAAAGGTGCAATCGATTGGAAATTATAACAAGCGTTGTTTATTGCTCGTCGATGAACGTTGTTTAGTGTTTGCTGTACGTTTGTTCGCCGCTGCATGCATAACAAACAGCATGCTGGTCGTCGGGATAACATTGTCCGTTCGATTTTCAATGCGGGCTCAGTGCACATACATTCAAATTCCAACGTGAGCAATAGTGTGGACATGAATTATTTGATATATTTTATGTTCTATTATAATTAAGAGGAATTACACGCTTCATGTGTAACTTAATAAAGCGAAATTTTAGTATAGGAAGCTTAATGTGGCGTTATTAAAAACATATAAATTAAGCAAAACGAGAGAGTCCTCTCTGCCGGCTGCCCGAATGGTTGGACAAACAGACAAAGTAGACATTTAGCACACATACGGTTATAATAGCATATACTGTGTGTTAATATTATATTCCTCATTAAATAAAATTAATACAAAACAAAATATTACAACAAATATAACAAGCCAAGACCCCATGAATTTATTTTGGCCGTCTGTCAAATATTCTAGAAGCGTATGTGCATATTGCGACGCTCCAGTTTGGCCGAGTTTAGTAGAGAGTTGGTCAGATGTAAATAAAAAGCAATCGAGTCCTTTTTGCGCAACACAATGATAACTAAAACCCAACCGTTTAACGTTTCAAAAGAGTCAATTTGTATTCACAGTTTAATATAATTGGCCATTTTGGAGGGTGAAATGCCTCCCCTTTTTGGTTACACACTTACAAAGCGGCCAGCGCCCCTTCGGTGACTTTGCTACCGATCTAATAAGGAGCGCACAGGCCCATTCCACGCACATATATGCCGAGCAGATTAAATGCTTTCGACTTTCGACAAATTTAATTATGGACGTGATTTATGCACTCACTTATTTTATTATGACGATTTATTATCATTAATGATTTCTAAATTGCATTGGCACCTAATTGAATACCTCTACCAATTACCTAGGTGAGTATCATCCAAAAGTTTCAATTATTTAATTTAATGTATAATGTGTAAATGTGTGCAAGTGGATTATTTTCGGCAAATTTCTAGCAGATAATCATCGTAAATTCTCACCGACATCGTTAGGCAAAACACATTTACCTTAACGGCAAATAATACTAGTTCAGCAGACATAAGTAAATTAATTTTATTTACTGCCAAATATGAAGTACGCGCGGAACATAACTCGAAATAAAGAGCAAACGAGCGCAGATAATTCATTCGCCGGAACAAGCATTCACAAACACACAAAAAGCGCATCGTTTTCAGAGCGTCTCGGAATTTTACTGCATTTTAATTATCCTATTGTGACTGTGTGATGCTCCCGTTCGCAACAAATAGAAATTTAAATGAGCAAGACGATTGGCTGCTTCAATTAAACGTGTATAAAAAAGAGGTCCCAGGAATAAAGAGGGGAACGCGTTGAATGCCCTCTCGTTTGTGTCACATCCACACCATCCATGCCGTATCTGTTTCATCCCCTGTTTACATCGACATCACCCTTAGTTGGCTGCTCATTTCAACGCAGTCATTTCGTCGTCTCGTATACTAATGTACGGATTTATTTCTCTCCCTTTTAATATATAACGCGTAATGCGTTTAAGTTGAACGCAAAAATATTAATGCATACAAATTTTAGAAAATACAATGCTAAACACACTTCTATCAGATCAACGTGCGTCAAAAAAAATGCATTTAGGGTGACAAAAAATTGAACAGCAGCACTACATTTCTTTTGTGCTAATTTAATATTTAACAGACAACATAACAATCGATTTTGATTAATGAGGAAATTAATGTAATAAAAATAATATTAAAAAGTGCTTTTAAAACTGATTAAAATTAAAATATTTTCTGATACGATGATGCATGTGTTGTTTGGTCACTAATCAATTTAGGCAATTTATGAATGAAACGTTGTTTACGCCATTTCTTACATTTAGCATGCATGAAACATTAATTTCAATATTTTTTTGAATGCAAATGACAATGCGGATGTTGGTGGAAGAGCTCACACAATCCACGTGCTAATGCTTTCGTTTCAGAGCTGCTGACGTCCACGGCACTACCATTGATGAAAAAAGCTATTGATGCGTGCATCCATCGTGTAAATGTGGATTTATGCGGCATATTAAAGGCATAAATACCAAAGGAAACCTGGCATAAGCACCCTGGGCGCGCAAAGGCACAATAAAGTAATTTATCTACCTACCTATGTATGTGCTCTGCGAATATGTACATGCAAACACACACAACACCGAATGAAATGGCAAAGCTTAGCCAACCAAGCGGAAAATAAGAGTAGAATGCAAACTTACAGCCGGCAGAGATGTGTCGACCTGTTGTTGTTGCCATGTCGTGTTCTTGTAGTCATGCAGTCTGGGACGACGAAACGAAAGAGCAAAAACGATGAGTCTGGCGAGCCTCGCACCTGGGCTGATCCATATTACTATACAATTGCCTTTTATTGTTGGCTTTTGGCGTTTCGTTTCGTGTGTGTGTGTGTGGATTGCACACGTTTGAAGTTTCAATAGACTAAAACCAGAGTCCATTTTATAAACGTTGATTCATTTGCTATGAACCGGTATACGCTCACGATGCAGAGTGGTTTCTAACACTCCGCTTAAAATTTCAGTTTGAAGTGAACATTTTTTTCAGTGAGATCTCAATACGCCCCTGGTTATTTCATACTTGCCATTGCATCCATTCAAAAGGTGTTAGTAAGTATGTGTTTAGATGAATGCAAAAGTCACGCAGTTGTATGAATGACAGTGCCTCTGCTTGCCTAGATCCCCGTAACATGCACTTCCTGTTTGCGTGCAATTTGTCCCTCGTCCATTCACAATGCGCCATTCATGCGCTAAAGTGACTTTTAGAACCCCGCTAGCAGAATTAATTTCAAACGTCTATTATGATGCGCACATAGGAAGTTGCTAAACCAAATATCCTCACAGTTATTTACCTGAATTTAATCCAATCATAATAGCAGCCTATTGTTGACTTTAACTATTTGTCACCATTGACGGAATATTAAGGTTATTATCCGGGTCATCGGTAAACGGCACGTTTTTTGTAGCATCTTCGTTGCACGTTCAAGATAAAATTAATCTTAATGTCTAGCAGATGACAGAATGATTGAAGTAATTCTGTGAGGAATTTAAGAAAGGAAACACTACACATTTATTACCAAATGTTTAAAATACGTTATGTTAATGCAGTTAATGCAGCAACATCCTGTCGATTACATTATGCACAATGAGTATTTGCTAAATTTGTGATTATCTCTTCTGCAGTTGCGCCAACAATAATGTAAAGTTCATTAAAATTCATTTGGCGTGAAAAGCGATTTGTGCAGAATGTTAAGTTATTTATTTATTTTTCTAAACCAGAAAAGGTAATTATCGTCGTTGGCTGCTTACAAAAGTGAATCTTCTGGCGGCGCATCATCAATGGAATTAAAGTTCTTTTCAAAGTTGTGTTCAAAAGAACGTGTAGCAGTGCAACGCCCGAAAGAAGAACTTTAGATCACGCGCGAATGGTTTTATCATCATTACGATTGAGTTTTATTCGGAAGCTGATTCAATTCAACATTTTAAAGATTAAAGCTATTATCTATACGTTTGCATTAAAAACAAACTCTAAATATTATTCAAAATTCAAAAGCATTTAAACTAATTGTGGTATGTTTAAATTAAATATTGAAATTGGTTTGTCAAAAACATAGAGATGAATATCTCATCCTGTCATGGAGAGTTGTTAATTGGTTTGCAAGCACATTTCGCTCATGTTCTCGAAAGCGCATTGGTAAGAACTTGTTAAAAAGTTGAATTAGACTTTAGATTAGTCGCGAGCGGTTGGTCTGCTATCGGTTGAAAGCCTGATAATATGGATTTATTATACGGCAGCGCAATGCTCAAGATGATCCTTGCATCCCATTAAGCGTGTAAAAAATATCTTGATTTAAGCCGGTGATGACCCGTCTAGCATTCGGCGTAATCATTTAACCAGACGACAGGCATATAAATGAGATTACTTTGAGCCAATTTAAATGACAAAGTGAATCAATATTTCTTTCTATAAAAATATTTATTTAAGGGCACGCCACGCTGTTCCGCACTGGGGTGCTGTTACGTTTCGCGTTAAGTAAATCTGCATTCGTTGCTGAAGATTTTCTAAGCTGTCATACGGCGAATGCCTTTAAGAAGCAGCGGAGAGAGAGAAACATTCGTTTTCACTTCCTGGTTTCGTTATAACAGATCAAATATTTATCATTTAACATGTCGAGAAGAAATCCAGAAAATTATTATTTTCATTGATGGAATAATCATGTGAAGTACGATAAAAAATCGAATACGTAATGAACAACAAAAAACAACACACACACACACACAACAACGAGATGACTTATGGGATGTGCTCGAAAATAAAAACGAACGCGCGGACGCTTCAAATGTACGTCGGCTGAATAAAGGAGCATGTTCACTTTTTTTGATAAATGCAACGATTGCGTGAATTTATGGTTATTGGTGATTTAAATCGGCAGGATAAAATGTAAATTGTTCATGATTCAATTTGACGCAATATTTCACTCTATTTATATTGCGCATGCATGGTGGCGGCGAATTGGTGGCCGGCGCGCGACTATCACTTATCAACAATCTCAAAAACACAATAATGCATAATTATACGAGTGCTTTTGTTATCAAACGACCATAAACCGTGTTAAATTGGCCGCACCGCAGATTTTCCGGTCTCCACCCTCTAGAGAGAAAGAGTAAGTAGCAAGCGCAAAGGACAACCCGAACGTGTGTGCTCGAAATGGCTGGTTTTAAAACATCGCCGCTCGCCTAGGGGGTCGTGATATCAGTCGATTGCATCCTTTCACAAATTTCCTGCTACCACAGTTATACGTTTTATAAAGCTTTTTATGGACCACGCATAATCAAAAACTAAATCTTGTAAGCCATATCTACGTAATTAATAGTCGTTTAGTTATGTTGGTTGGTTTTAAATTATGTAACCGACCATCAAGGATAATGTTGACTAGGAATATCACGCGGATTCTTACAATGTTATTTCAAGAAGCAGTATAGACAAGTAAAGTTTGATAGAAGTAGCGGAAGAGCAGTAGGATGCAAATTTATAATTGTGCGGTAAAACAGAATTAACCGCTTCGATACTGAATCTTGCTGTGGGCATTAAAAGCTTTTAATTCAATTATATGTAGCTTACGTAGGTAAACGGGAAAGCGGTGCTGCTGTTCTCGTTGATATTCTGTGCTATTCTATGCTATGAATATGGCGTCACCACAAATGTGCCAGTATCATGACGAACGGCTCGCCGCGGAATTTGAAGAGATTCGCTCCACTCACTGGTTTGTGAACGAAGCAATAAAGAAGGCACACCGAAATCAAATTTATAGGCATTTAAACATCCTTTTAATTAGCATGAGGATAGCACCTTTGATATGGCATGCCCAATTATATAATTTAAATTTAATGGAAACTTGAACGCGATTGCTTTACACATTGTAAATAACAACACATCAAAAATAATCATCTATTTATGTACGGGTACCTACAGGATGTTGAATTAAATCGTATAGGTGTCTATATATGTTTTTTGGCTATTAGCACATTAAATTTTCATATAACGCTCATCTCCAGACATCAAAAATACGTGGGTATGACTACGCAATGAAAACAGCATAAAATTAAATATAAATATAAGCATGTTGTAATGAACACCATTGGTGCAACATTTTCGTAGCAGTTTGGTGTCTCATGATTGTAAATATGACCTATCTCCTGCGAGACAAAGTGTTGGTACTTATACCACTGACTGTAATAACTTTGTAACGATGTCGTAAAAATCTAACACCTATTATAAATCTATCAGATTTTATTTTTCTCGGGCGTCTTAAATCTTATGTTTACTTCTATTATTTTATTTTAATTACCTCTCTTTAACGTTTTGGGATGGCTCGTCTTCATGCAGGTTCTCTTGATATAATATAATTAATTTTAATATTTTTTAATAGTCTCAGTGCAAGTATTTTAATATTTCCGTTACCAATTTTTGTTTTGGCAAACCAATCACCTACTTTAACAGAAAATCACTAAAACTGTGTATTTATTTCATTTTTCACTCTTCAAAGTGATCATCATCAACGTGAAAATATAACAAAATACGCATTGATTTACAGAGGGGATATAAAACACCTCTAAAATTTTTAACCTCGCAACTTTATTGTTATTACACGAGATTTTGAATATTAATTTTATTACCGTTTAAAGTGTGTCGTATATATTTTATGGAACAATAAAAGTAATGATTGACAGGAATAAATGAATAAATGAAATACTGTTGAATATCACCTATTACGAATGCATCTGGCACGCATCAAAGCAGTTAGTTTATACGTTTATAGATATTTCAACAGAGGCGCGGTGCGTTGTGTGTTTTTTCAATTAATTTTTCAATTTCCCCCGCACCATTTGCCCGACGTGAATTGAACGCATTGACGACGCACCGCCGCGAGAGAAAATTTGATTACGCTTGATTTATAAAAACAACAAATCAATATTTAATACTTTAAATTATTCCCAATGAAAACGGATAAATCACGACATGCTATTATTATTTCAGCCAGGGAATTTTTGGGATGCGTTTTGGGTGCGGGCGAATGGCATATATCGTATTTGGTGATTTGAGTTTGTGCAGTTTTTACGAGCACGCTGCGGCCACACTGCCGATTCAGGCATCATATTTTAATTATTGACGAATCAATTTTCCCAAATCCATTTGTTGCCGCGACGAGATGAAACGATATCAGCGCGCGCTCGTTGATGTCAAGGTAGATGCGGAATGGCGTACGCAAAATTTGCATCGCCATCATTGAATTTATTCATATAGCCGCGTATAGAGACATATTCGATTATTGATGTGTTTTTCGTTCGCGTACACAAATTTATTTTATTCTTCTGTCATAAATGTACCAATCTATCTACGCGAGTACTGAATCCGAGATATATTTGTTCGTGAATGGTAGTGCTGCTCACTGTCGTTTTAACATTTTATATATTTTGTAGCCGAATTTTCTTGAAAGACCGCGGTATATCTTTTATTGGTGGCTTATGACAGGAGATATATTTAGTATGAGAAGTGTTTTACAACTACAACGTGCATTGATTTCAAGATTTTAGAGTGTGGTGCGGCATCATTCGGGGTCTATTGGAAGTATAAAATTAGTAAACTATTATTCCCAACAGATGGCGCCACCAGGCTAAAGAAATCTTATAGGCCACTGCTTCTACCATCCAACAACAGGATACTACGTGCTGGTTGCTAGAAAACTGGTAGCAGGAATAATTTCTGTATAAATATTAGTGAGATATGGACTTTCCTGTTTATTGTATCGCATGGATTACATTAATTAATGGTGGTACAAATTTATTATACTCAGATTTATAAAATACGACTAGCTACTCTTAAACGAGCAATTTATAAACTATAAGATTAATCCAGATATTATGCGAATCTTATGAAAAATATTTATCTACTTTAAATATCAAACGACTCTTTTATGTAGACTTTTGTGCATTTTACGAAATTGTACTTATTCATTTTTCCCAATATTTGTCATTAATGTAACATTTTTGTATTGAAAATATTTCTGTACAGTGCAGTTAGAATTACTCTAAATTCATGCAGCTGTAAATTTCGATTTTTGCCATTTTATTTATAAAATTTTACTATGACTTTTTGTTTTATATCTTGTCTTAGATTTGCTTACAATTAGTATTTACAGTTTCATTGCATAACACTTGTCTATTTACTTGTTCATATCATCTCTAGAAAAACTAGCAAGTTGTGAAAATTCCAGAGATAATATGAATTTAGTAATAAGAACTAAAATATGTTTATAGATATTCTTCAATTCTTATTCACAATTCAGTCTAACTTTTGACGACTCAAAGAAATTACAGATTTTTAATTAATATTTACAACATGAGCTTAGATTTACACAAAAAAACTATAGACAAAGCTTTTATTTCATATAGTAAAACATAATTATGTACGTAGGTAATAAAATTCTATAATAATTAATTTTGCTTGGACATTTAATATTAATCATTCTTAACACCCTGTATTTAAACCGTATTTTTACCGAATTGTTAATGAAAATAATGTTATTGTTCGTATACATATTCAGTTCATTTAAAATTTTGCGTGTTACTATCTATATGAATCACATGTTCATCAATTTATTTGGTAAATTTGTAGTTTTCACCAGTTTTCATTAACAAATCGACGCATAAATATAAATTACTAAACTATTCTTAAAATTTTGAAATAATAAAATTCTTAATCGGCACTGACTAAAATTACCTACATTAATTAACAAATTGACGGGTTTCAGCGTTTTTGTAATAATGAATTGCATGTGATTCTCTACTAACATTTAAAAGGAATATCTCATCTAAAATTGCACAATTAATAAATATCAAGTAATTCGTTAATAATTTTAAACGTAGTGTTACATTGGTTGTAATTAAATGTGTGTTGGTTGATCATATTCCTATTTATATTAAATCCTGTACCTATGGGCAATCCTTGTTGATTTGCGCTGCTAGCAAGAAGAGGGGCACAATGCGTTTGAGGCTGTTCCAATTTTAATCTGTTTTCAATAACGTGGGCAAATTTCTATTGAATGATTGAGTGTCATTTAAAATCGATAATCGCCATACCGTCGCAGGCCTCTGCACGTTCAGCGAAGCGCTCATTATTGCGTTATCCGTCCTCCCCTATCGTGTTGTTCGTCCAACTCGCTTGCACCGCTGCTTTTGGCTGCAATCTAGTTGATGACCACTGCATTATACATTATCCTTTGCCCGTAAACGCGAGCAAAACGAGGAAGCTTCGACTACAATTAGCAAGTGACTGCCCCTGATTTCATATCGGTTTCAAGCACTCACACAGACTACACATCTGGTTGGAAGTTGGTAAATGCAGCAAATAGATGACAAATCAAATTATAAAAAATGTTTTGTTGTTATTGAAACGCAATACAATAGCAAATAAAAATTGAAACAATGAAAGTGAACATTTTCTTAAGATTTATCTTTGGCCGAGAACGATAAGTTAAAAAGGACGTCATTAGTCGTGTCTAATTGATCTTGAAACTGTGTTTGATCTTGGCTGTTCGTCGATGGTCGCTTATTCTGTTGGATGGCATTCGTAAAGGTTTTACCGCCGACCGACATATCCGTGGAGCACTTGGAGTCACTTTCCAAGCTGGAATTTGAGCTTTGCGAACTGTGTTGAAGATGGTGTTGCTGCTGTTTGCTAAAGCCAATCTTTGCCGATTTCGTCGAAGATTCGTCGCCGGACTTCGAACCTTCCTTAGGAGGTGTCTGACTTTTGGCGTCTGATACGTCGGCGTTTGTCAGATTATCAATCTTTTTCCACTTGGTCCGCCTATTTTGAAACCATATCTTCACCTGAAACACAGATGTCAGATTAGGTACTGAAAATAATAATGGTTGTGCTGCAGATGTTGTATTTTTGTTAATCATTGCTATTTAAAGCCAATAATGGTAACGCAACTAATTTGTCAGGTATGTTTGGAACTAATATGAATCCAACAAGCCGCATTAGTTAATTAAAAAAACATTCGATCGGAAAATACAAGCGCGGCGCTGGTTGGGCAGTTTTTATGCGATAAACCATCGAGCTCGTATGCATAATGAAATTTTTGTTTGATTAACCGGACAGTTTATTTAATATTAAATTAAAAACGATTTATTGCGGGTTAATTCCGTTATTTAATCATTGCAAATGGTCCAGCGCAGGACACGGGGCGGTGCGGTGTTATCCCAATTTTCAATTCGGAATTTTCTGCTGTTCACGCACGCACACACGCGCTCGTCCAATTCCCGCATTTATTGCCTTTTTATTATGGCATCACGCCGCTAACTGCACGGCGGCGGAAGGGAGGCGGCAGCAAATCGTGCCGCAACGCGGTCAAACGAGCGCGGACGCGTTCTCCTACCGGCAATAATTAACTGAACGTACATCAATAAATATTTAATAAGAGCGTTGGATTGATTGCGGGCGAGTCTTTAAAAGCTTTCCGATGATTTGTATCCACCGAGTGCATAAGCGTAATTGCGAGATGAGAGTAGGTAGTAATGATACATATGAAAACCGATGTTGTTCTACTCAAAATAAGAATTTTAGACAGTGTGGGACGATGCGAAATTCGGTTTTGATTCAATTATATTCCTGGTGTGTCGCAATCAAGCAAACACGCCGAGGGCGTTGCGCGAACAAATGGCTCAGGAATCGCGGGTGGTAGCTTTGATGGACGGATGAATGCGGTAAGGTGCATGCGTGTAGGTGGAATATTAATTACTTTGTGGAATAATTAGCAAATCATAAAGTGGCTGTTTTGGGAATTTGAGACAAATGAGCCTGAAGCGGCAACTTCCATGCATCTGATGGCGCATTGAGTTACATGCACGTATTGTTTGCATGTGCGGGTGTTTGAATTTATACAGGATGCTCCAACTGATGTATACAAGCAATGTCTTCTCAGTTGCATAAAACATTAAATAAGAAATTAGTTAATAAATGACTAAAATTAATAATACTTAATAGACCAACACAACAATTTTGTAATTAAATTTCTACCACACCCTCTATGCGGTCAATTCGGGTCACACCCTATTACATTAGAATGCAGCATCCGCATTACCAACCGTAAAGCAAACCTTTTCAACGCATTTACCGAAACAATCAATTGTCGCCTGGATTATGAATTTCATTGCATAACAAACTGATAAATAATTGTCAGAGACTATTAATTCAATCAATATGTTGCATGCTGCGAAGAGGGAGTAATGCGAATATACCGATTGTTTGTTTGGTGCGGTCAGTCTTTATGTACTGTGATTTGGCGCGTTCAATTGCATTCCCAGTCCCGATTTGATGCGAGCACCCGCGCACTAATGAAATTGCATCATACCACCAAACTACATTCAGTTCGTATATTATTATTGTTGCCGATGATAATTTTATTGCATTCCTGATGGCTATCAACAATTATCGTATCGTATTGCACGCTGAATACTGCGAACTTTGTACAAAAAATGCCTGCCCCAGGACCATTGCTCCATCATTGACTAATGCCCTCGGCGGTGTTGACTCATAATTCCACCACTCGTATGTTTTTACGGAGCAATGCTTTGTTCAGCCGATTGCGTTCTATAGGGGTAATTTTGGTGTGCATAAATTGCTACGATAAATTTTCATGATATTTTATTAATTGCGTCATCTCGTCATAATAATATATGTGGAGGCGCCGGGCAATGCAAATAATATTTTGAGCGCAATAATAACCAGTAGGGATTAGTTATTGCTTAATGTATCATCAACTCAGTAGTTTGTTGTTGTTGGTCGCCTAAGTAGCTCTTCCAAGATGCAAAGTTACTAGAATTAAATGACAGTCATTAGACATCGACTCTGAAATACGGGTCACGATGACGACCGTATCTACCGTGCGAGAGTATCCCGAGTTCCCTGAGCCCCGCGGACGTGGGGTAATTCGACGAGTGGTATACGAGGGGAACAAGTGGGCGAAAGAGAAAGAGCTCGATAAACACGTTCGTAATTGAGCGGTATTTCCGCGTGGAAAGAATGCAAGGCAGCATCCAGCACTGATGGCGCGAGAGAGGCGGGGGTGAGGGCAAAACGGGAGTGGAACTGAGTGGAAGAGATTCAATCGAATAGCTCTATAAGCGAGCAAGGAGTTCGTGCGACACAACGTGGCGCATGGATTGCGTACAGGAAAGCAAAGCGTGATGAGCGAGAGCCGAGCGGTGTTGAACATCAAAACTGTGTGCGCGCAACGAGGGTAGAGGGCGTCGAAAGGATGGAGACGAACCGAGCGAGAGAGCGACGTAAAAGCCGAACGCTAAGCGGTTTGAGCGCGAGCTGTACTACCGGTGGCAGAGGCAGCCATTCTCGTCCATAAACAGTCTCCTCTTTAGATTACCTCTAAAACATTCTCATTAATTTACACTCCGCCGCATCGGAATCTCCCTTTTATTATGTTAAAACTCCATTATTATTACGGGTAAATGTTTGCATAATACGCAGCGCTTTTCCGGAAATCGCTCATTTTAGAATAACATTTTTACAAATTCCATACAGCTTTATTTGATTTATAACTTCATTGCTTATGCGCACGGAAACCTTTTCACATTCATATAATTTGAAGGGCGAAGGGTTTCAGGGCCGGACACAACATCCAAAGTGAAAAAATTTCACCCAAACCAGTATTACGGATACGGATTAGCAACAAATAGGTTTAAAATATATTAACATTGCAAACTAAAATAAGTTACGTAGCGATTTTAAATCCTGGGGTACCCCCAAGCTAACATTCACGAGTAATAGTCATAAAAACCCAATCGCTCAAAATTGCATACACACACACAGCCCCACACAAAAACTACCGAAGTAGCGGAGAAAGCAAGAGAATTAATTAAAGCGTGGCGCGTATCCCAAAAAAACAACATTGTCAGTATGTTGGTCCACCTGTGGCGATGGGGAATTTTCATTTGAGAGGAAGCAATTTTTACCCCGAAACGGAAATTAACGTTTTGCACATCATGTTGGAAACGAAAAACGAGAAAAAGCGTTCAGCAAATTAGTAAACTAGTTGTATGCAAATACTTAGAGACACCAACCAACGCAGGACTTGTGTACGTCAATTTGGTTGATGATCCATTAATCGTCATTACGATTACCATACAGAGGGTGCACATGCTAATGATAATTATAATATTAATTAATTATTAATAAATAATCGATGGCAGTGTGTTTGCGATGTCAAATGTCGCTATCATTAGCATTAACGATTTCCTGCGAAGGTTGTCAGTGCGGATCGCTTCAGAATTAGATCAATACGCGTTGGCACTGTAGTTGCGCTGTAATTACGCTGCGAGTGTGCGCTCGACACGGCGCGCCGCTTAAACGTATTATGTTAATAAAATTTCTATACCGCGCGCACACTAATTAATTGACTGGGCTTAATGGGAATCGCTTTAATAGCGCACCGCAAAGAAATGCTATTAATTGCATGCCTATAATGTTTGCATATCTAATAGAGCGTGAATTTCCTCTTCTAAACTCTTGTTTTTTTATGATTCAGTCATAATGTGATTAATCTGTTAACGTCATTAGAATGTTTTCCTGTTCAATCCGTTTTTTTCTCTCGCGTATGCAACAAGAAAACCAATAAAACTAGGAAAGCAATTTAGGAGCGTTCATGCGGTGTGGGGTGCGTTTATTTGCAACGGCGCACACTCGTTTTAATTGCCCCACCATTTCAAAGGAAAAACATTTGATGATTCAAACAATTATAATCAATGCATTAAATATAACAATTTACAATTAATCTCGCATGCTTCCCTGGCAACTCATTCCGCATAACAGCATCGATTGCAATGGCGAGGAAGGGGGAAGCGAGCAGCAATTCAATTGAGTGTCGTGTCGCGCGTCCTGATCCTGCGTGTCTTGCTTCAGTTCAGTTATACAGACACAAGTACGGGGGTCGTGCAAAGTAGGGCCAGGAAAGCAAAAGCAAGCTGCTTGGCTTGGATGGCTGAATTAGGATCCACGCAGCGCGCTCGGCCTGCGCTCGCTCAAATTCGTGCAGGGTGAGCGCACAGTTGCGCTTCATGTATTTATGTACGTGTAACGTGTATATTTGAGGGTGTCGGCTTGGATGTGGGTGTAAAGGTTCGGCGATGTATTAACGAGAACATCGATTAGCGTTTCAACTGGAAATGGCCGTTTGAGTTCCGATTAGCGATCCGCTCCATCCAGTGTTCATTCACGTCGCTCTAAATCACATCAGATTACTTCGACTACCATTACTCGGAATTACACGAATCCTAGTCGCGCACAAGCTTGGCGAAAACGTTGGATTTATGCGAGTAAAAAATTTGTAAACATTCCTAATATGAGTCGCTCAAAATATGGAAAATCTCCGACGCATTAAATAACGCGCGTCGTTTTAATTGATTAGTTAATTAAATGTAGAAGCGACGTGCTTAATTGTCGGTGTAAATTTAAAAGGGGAGTGGGAGCAGAGCCGATGGCACGGCATATTTCCGCTCTATATAAATGATGAGCAATATTCAGCTAAGTGGTCTGTTAGAGGCGGCGAGAGTGTATTGTGTCAACGGGAGTTACTCGTTTCCCCGCCAGAGTGCACGATTTATCGCTCAATAAATTACACGCCACCTCTTTGTTGCGCGCACGTGGCGGCGGCGTCCCGACGCTGCTATACAAATCATTATCGTTATCTGCATACACGCCGTTATACATTGTCGCCAAGTTCAGGCTCTAATTACACTGATTGATGTTTATTCATTGGCGCGCGCGTTTTCTTTACATTGCGTTGCAATTAAAACGCGATGGCTTAATAACC